AGTCATGGTGTCAATCGATACCAGTTTTGGCCCAGAAAAGTCCATGACGCTTTCAAGTTTACAAAAGTGGAAATTTGCCCCAAAAGACTTCTCTATTTGCATTATTAGTCCATGACCCTTTTATACGGCATATATATAGTTTTAGAGGTCATTGTTTATCCCTATTAAGTTCTTTCCTACCAAGTTTTCAGAGAGACATAAGCTATTCATCCCTATTTTCAGAGATTCATCCAGTTTTCCATACAGTGAAGAGATCCTTTCATACTCTAATCTTATTTGCTGTGTTTATGCTTTCTATCTCAATTGTGTTGCTTGTTTCAATCAATATGTCAGAGTAGTTTGCTTCTTAAGAATAGGGTTTCTCATTAGGGATTCATATGGTTTAGTAGATCGCCCCCTTTGCTAGGTTATCTTTAGAATTCCTCATCTTTGATTATTCTTAATGCTAAATCTAGAGTAATTAACTAGATCTTGAATCCAGACAATAGATATACCCGCGATAGGTATCTGTAGTTGGATCTATTATTTGATGAGCCTGGTTTATAGGTGTGTAATAAGAATCGGCCTATCTACTAAGGTGAACAATTGAACTTTTTTAAAATGCATGTTTAAGTTAAAGATCTCTCGGCTTCTCTGGTTATTCTTAGCTATAGGCATAGGAAGTTTTGCGGAATACCACCAGTTATTCCATAATTAGAGTTTGAGTTTAAGAATGGTTCGATAATAACCTAGCTATCATTAGATCTACTAACCAATAATTTCCTGAGAATACCCTACTCCTATCTCTTTATTTAATGTTTCACATCAAATCAATCAGATGTTTTCTTACTTTGTTTACTTTTTATTTCAGTCATTTTCTGCTAGCTTAATCTGGACGTTTGATTCATAGTATGAACAAAAGAACTTTGAGGAAATTCGACCCTTAAGTACTGCAACCAATCTCTTATTTGAGAGAGTAGGTTTAAAGCAATTTGAACCATATCAGTGGTGAACGAGTGGTTTCTTCAGCTTCTCTTCTCTTTCGTGTACTCAGCTTGTTTGGTTTAGTGTAGAATGAGTAGATGGCCTTCCTAGTTATCGCGTTGTTTGGTGGGTGATTCCTCCGGCTTCGCGATAGAGTGAAACTGAGCTTCTAGCTTTTTCGGGGTTGTGATCGAGTGTTTTGCCCTGTTAGACTCTGAGGTTGCGATCTAGTAATTGGATGAGGGTGTGATTGAGCATCCAAACTTTCTGTTTTATTTCTCCTCTGTTTGAACACCAAAAGTATCCAAAGTACCTGAAAACAATCCAATATGCGCACATGCAATCCTAATGCAAAATCGTCTAAGTATGCAAAACACATTAAAATGACTACTAATGAGATAAAATATGGATGAAACAATGACAAAGTGATGTAGTCATCCATCTCCGCTTGAGTGTACTCCATTGGCATGACCGGTCCTTGGTGCGGTTCCGCCATCTCCTCGTCATTGTGCTTGATCATTTACTTTTTTCGTCATGGGAGACAAGGGGACAGAGCATGGGCTTTTTGGAGTGTCGGTGGAGATTAAAGTCTATTTGACTTTATGGAAGCATGAGTTGTCATTGAAGTTCTGTGGTCGCTCTCACTCTACCTTGCGATCGAGTGTTTTTGGGAAATCCTACTAGGAGATCACTCGATCATACAACTTCTAGGTTGCGTTCGAGTGGTTTGACATTGTTGTTGAGAAAGATATTATCCCAAAACCATTAGATCGCACTCCCGAGCTTTTCTACCGACGTTGCGAAAGAGTGTTTTTGAAAATTTTGGAAAACTTTATACCAACCACTTGCTCGCATCTCTGTTGATTACTCCAATTGCTATTCATTTCCTGAGAACCAATAAGACAACCAAAACAAAACAAAAGTAACAAGAAAATAAAAACCATATATAGGGATAGTCATGGGACTTCCTCCCAAGTGAGTTTGTTTTATGTCTCTAACTTGACTCCTCACACTTATTAGACTTAAGGAGGGTGATAGATTAGAATTAACGTCTCCTCTCCTTCCTTAGTAGATACAACATCAAATTCATCATGCCCTCTTGGCAGGACTCTAATTTGTACTCAATGGACCTTTCTTGGAAGTAATCTTCTTTTTGATCATCTGGATGGTTTTCTTCTCTAGACCATTCCAATGAGAATTCACATCTTTCTTTGCTAACCAGAGCAATGGCTTTATCGTTTTGAACTTCTTTGATGTTGAGAGGAGTTTGGTTAATTTTCCCTTGAAATCTTTGATTTAAACTTTAGCTCTCTCAAATTGTCAGTTAGCTCTTATATGGCTTTTTCTTGCCATTTAGACCTCTCCTTAAGTTTTAACCAATCATTAGATGCCCTCATGCTTGACTTTAGCTGTTTGGTTGAGCACTGTGGTCGAGTATCAATTGAGCCTTCCTCGTTCAATGCAACATCCTCTGTTTCTGACGCAATGAAACTTTTAAAGATCTTTGATCCTTGTACTTCGTTGTGTGAGTCTAATGACTTCTCACAGCTCAAGGTTTGATGGAGAGAAATCCAGCTTCACTACTTTTAGTCAAAGCAGTTTGAAGGTGATATTAATGATATATCCCTACTTTTACTTTTTGATATGTCCTAGTTTTTACTGATTTCAAACATAGTTTCAGAGTTGTTTTTAGACTCTTTCTAATCTTTTCGTATGTTTTGAGTCATTTAAGGCACTCTTACACATCTTGGAGCTATGGAGTATAATAAGGAATTTTGGAAGCTTTTCAGCAATAAAGATTATCAAAGACGTTTTTTCAAAAGATGGTGTCGATCAACACCCAACCTATGTCGATCGACACCCTTATTTCGGCTATGGGATTTTCTGCCTTCTGCCAAGTCTTTGAGAAGCCCTGGAGTTTGCCTTATTTGCAAAGTAGTCCATGCACGTTTTTAGACACGAATATACCTAATTGTTTGGTCATTTGTTAGACCTAAGTTTTGTTTCAGAGATTGATACACATTTTGAGAGAAGAATCCAATCCCATTAGAGAGCATTCTGAACTCCTTTCACTTCTATCCTAATTCATCAATGCAAACTATTCAGATTATGATTTGTGTTACCATTATCATGTCTAAGTAATCACCTTGTTGGGTTTAAGGAGTCTCAATAGGGATTTAGATGGATTAGTAGATCGAAAACCGCTTAGGATTATTCTTAGAGTTCTTCATCTTGATTATTTTTATTGCTAGTTTTAGATTGATCACCTAAAACTTGATATTAGATAATAGGTATGCCTACCATAGGTACTTGTTGTTTGAACTATCATAGATGAGCCTAGGCATTTAAGAAAGAACAGGTAGGCTCATAGAAGGGCTCTGGTTTAGATACTAGGTGAACTAATCAAGCTTGATAACAATGAATGCTTTAGTATAGGATTTCTCGGCTTCTCCGGTTATCTTAGCTCTAAGTATAAAGAGTTTCGCGGAACACCACCGGTCACTCTAAAATTATAGTTTGAGTTTGAGAATGGTGCGATAACAATCCTAATATTAGCTAGATTTACAATTTATCTATCTCCCGCGACAATTCCTTAAACCCGACGCTTTAATCACTTGAATTTACACCTCGTTTACTTGCTTATTTGTCTTTTACATCCAATTGCTTTGTCTAGCTTATTAAATAACATCATAAGTCTATTGTGTGAACATCGAGAGCTCAGTGGAATTCGACCCTTAAGTGCTAACGACGATCTCTTATTTGAGGGAGTAAGCTTAAGGCAATTTGAGCTATATCAAATTTGGTGCTGTTGCCGAAGTTCTCTTTTAGTTCACCATTAGACTAGGTGTCATTTTAGGTCTAGATACTTCTTTTCTATCACCTACTTACGTGTTTCTTTGTCTTCTGGTCTCTTGTGTTTCAGGTACCTTCAGATTGAGAATCACGTTTCAATGGCAGATTTTCACGATAGTGTATACCGACACCATCCTGGTGTCGATCGACACCCTCTGCAAAACCAGACGGCTACAATAGGCGACTTCAACAGAACTGATCTCTTCTACACCAACCGATCATCATTCAAGCTACCTCCATTTGAAAGAGAAGACTTTGCTATACACCCTGCCTATTATGATCTTGTATCAAGAGTTTAGAGGAGCTCCCGATGAATCACCATTAGATCATTTGGAAGTCTTCGAAGGCATAGTGTCCTCTATCAAAGCGGAAGGTGTACCAGCTGATTACCTTCTTTGCAAACTCTTCCCCCACTCTCTCGCAAGCAGAGGAACATCATGGTTGCGTCAACTAGAACCAGGTTCACTAACCAAATGGACTGATACAAAGAATGCATTCATGAATCACTTCTTCGATGAATCCGTGACAGAGGCATTTCGTTTGCAAATCTCTTCGTTCACTCAGGCTCCGCTTTAGGTCTTATCAGCGTGAATTTCCCCAACATTGCTTCCAAGAGAGCCAACTCATCAATCTATTCTACAAAGGAATAGCCAAGCCATACATGAGTCAACTCGATGCAGCAAGCTACTGTAACTTCATCACGGTCACAAGGACATCAGAACCTCCTCTTCAACGACAACATCGACCGCATCGCTTGCTCTCTAAGAGAACAGACACATACACACACGATGGCTGACATTGTAGATGAGCAAGAATTGCCCAACAACATTGGCGTTGGCGACTTCCCACACAACCATAACCTGCGTCACGGCATTGTCCCTCTGCCGGTTCAGAACAATAATTTCGAGATCAAGAGCGGTCTCATTGCTATGGTTCAGGGGAACAAATTTCACGGCCTGCCAATGGAAGACCCGCTCGATCACCTGGACGAGTTTGAAAGGCTCTGCAGCCTTACAAAAATTAATGGAGTTAGTGAAGATGATTTCAAGCTTCGCCTGTTCCCGTTTTCACTTGGAGACAAAGCCCATCTGTGGGAGAAGAAGCTACCCCAGGGATCAGTCACAACTTGGGACGACTGCAAGAAAGCCTTCCTGGCTAAATTTTTCTCTAACTCCAGAACTGCCAGACTCCGGAATGAGATATCAGGATTCACACAGCAAAATACTGAAACCTTCTGTGAAGCATGGGAGCATCCGTAAGCTTGATGCCTCTCTCGGTGGCCAAGAGACTTGGTTTCAGTAAATACAAGGCCTGCAACATTTCTTTGATTCTAGCAGATAGATCCATCAAAATACCTCATGGTTTGCTAGAAGACTTACCAGTAAGGATAGGCACTGTGGAGGTTCCTACAGACTTCGTGGTGCTAGAAATGGATGAAGAACCCAGGGACCCTTTGATCCTAGGAAGACCCTTCTTAGCTACAGCTGGAGCCATCATTGATGTCAAGAAAGGAAAGATCAATCTTAACATTGGCAAAGAACTCAAGATGACCTTCGACATCACTAACACCATGAAGAAGCCTACAATAGAAGGAAAGGTCTTCTGGATTGAAGAGACGGATATGTTGGCTGATGAACTGCAGAAGAGCTAGCAGAAGAAGACCATCTATAGAATGCTCTAACAAAGGATGGGAAAGAAGAAGATTTACACTTGGAAACTTTGGGGTACCGGAAGTTGTTAGATATGCATAAAGAAGTTGAGAATCCAGAGGAGTATGACGATTTGTTCGGAAATGCAAAGGAGCAGAATATACTCGATCACGTCATTCAACAGACTGTCCACTCGACCGAGCTACTCGATCACAACCTTCCCTCTAACGCCGATCTGACATCCGACGACTGGTCCGAACTCAAGGCACCAAAGGTGGATCTGAAACCGCTGCCAAAAAGGTTAAGGTACTTTTTCCTTGGACAAAACTCTACTTACCCTGTTATCATTAGTGATGAGCTAAACACCGATCAAGTTATTCTGTTATTAACTGAATTAAAAAAATATAGGAGAGCTATAGGATATTCACTAGATGATATCAAGGGGATCTCACCCACCCTATGCACCCATAGAATTCATTTAGAAAACGAATCTTATTCTAGTATTGAACCTCAAAGAAGATTAAACCCAAACCTGAAAGAAGTGGTAAAGAAAGAGATACTTAAACTATTAGACGCGGGTATAATCTACCCTATATCTGATAGCACTTGAGTATCTCCAGTCCATTCTGTTCCCAAAAAGGGAGGTATGACAGTCATAAAAAATTCTGAAGATGAACTGATACCCACTAGGACCATAACAGGACATAGGATGTGTATCGACTCTAGGAAGCTTAATGCAGCCTCTAGAAAAGATCATTTCTCATTACCCTTCATTGATCAAATGCTAGAAAGATTAGCAAACCATCCCTACTATTGTTTTCTAGATGGATACAGTGGATTCTTTCAAATTCCTATCCACCCAAACGATCAAGAGAAAACTACCTTCACTTGTCCTTATGGGACCTTTGCTTACAAGCGAATGCCTTTTGGGCTTTGCAACGCACCTGCTACTTTTCAGCGGTGTATGACTTCTATTTTCTCCGATTTGATAGAGGAGACGGTCGAGGTATTCATGGATGATTTTTCCGTGTATGGTCCTCCTTCTCCTCCTGTTTGTTAAATTTGTGCAGGGTACTCAAGAGGTGTGAGGAAACCAATCTGGTACTGAACTGGGAGAAATGCCACTTCATGGTGAGAGAAGGAATTGTCTTGGGGCACAGAATCTCAGAGAAAGGGATAGAAGTTGATAAGGCTAAGGTCGATGTTATGATGCAATTACAGCCACCAAAGACTGTGAAGGACATCAAGAGTTTTCTTGGGCATCAGGCTTTTATAGAAGATTCATCAAAGACTTCTCCAAGCTGGCTAGGCCACTCACTAGACTACTGTGCAAAGAGGCAAAATTCATATTTGATGAAGAATGTCTAACAGCTTTTAAGACAATCAAGGAAGCTTTGGTCTCTGCTCCAATAGTCCAAGCTCCTAACTGGGACTATCCATTTGAAATCATGTGTGATGCTTCAGACTACGCTGTAGGAGCAGTACTTGGGCAGAAGATTGATAAGAAGCTACATGTCATCTATTATGCCAGCAGGACTATGGATGATACACAAGTGAGGTATGCCACCACTGAGAAGGAATTACTGTTTGTGGTATTCGCATTCGAGAAATTTAGAAGCTACTTGGTGGGTTCTAAGGTGACAGTATACACTGATCATGTTGCTTTGAGGCATATATATGCGAAGAAGGATACCAAACCCAGGCTGTTGAGATGGATCTTATTGCTCCAAGAGTTTGACATGGAGATTGTTGATAAGAAGGGGATTGAAAATGGTGTAGCTAACCATCTTTCTAGGATGAGAATTGAAGACGAGGTACCCATTGACGACTCCATGCTAGAAGAACAGCTAATAGCGATTCAACAACTTAACAAGAGGACTCAAACTAAAAAATCACTCGATCAAGTTTGTGCAGTAGAGAACAAGCTTCCGTGGTATGCTGATCACTTCAATTACTTGGTTGGTGGTGAGGACCCTCCGAGTCTGTCGGGCTATGTGAAGAAGAAGTTCTTCAAGGACATTAACCATTTTTACTGGGACAAACCCTATCTCTGCACACTCTTAAAGATAAGATCTATAGGCGATGCGTCTCAGAAGACGAAACTGAAGGCATCCTACTGCATTGCCATGGATCTGCCTATGGTGGCCACTTTGCAACTTTCAAAACAGTGTCAAAAATCCTGTAAGCAGGTTTATGGTGGCCGACAATGTTTAAGGATGCTCAGGAATTTATCTCAAAATGTGATTTATGTCAGAGAAAGGGGAACATCAGCAGAAGGAATGAGATGCCTCAAAATCCGATCTTGGAAGTTGATATTTTTGACGTTTGGGGAATTGATTTCATGGGTCCATTTCCATCTTCTTATGGAAACAAGTACATACTTTCAAGACCCCTATTGGCACGACTCCTTTCAACCTTCTCTATGGAAAATCGTGTCACCTACCTGTTGAGCTCGAGTATAAAGCCATGTGGGCAGTTAAACTCCTGAACTTTGACATTAAAACTACAGAGGAGAAGCGGTTGATCAAACTGAACGATCTAAACGAGATTCGCTTAGAAGCTTATGAGAGTTCCAAAATCTACAAGGAGCGAACCAAATCTTTTCATGACAAAAAGATAATTTTAAGAGATTTTAAGGTTGGTGATCAAGTGCTGCTGTTCAACTCTCGCCTGAGGCTTTTTCCAGGCAAGCTCAAATCGAGATGGTCTGGTCCTTTCTCTGTTACTGTAGTCCGACCTTATGGTGCTATCATTCTAGTTGGGAAGAATGGAGACTTCACAGTCAATGGGCAGAGGCTCAAGAAGTACATGGCAGATCAATTTATTCCAGAAGGAACTTTTGTTCCTTTGGAGGAGCCTGTAAAAGCCCAATAAGTGTGAGGAGTCAAGCTAGAGACTTTAAACAAGCTCACTTGGGAGGAAGTCCCATGATTATCCTTGTAAATAATTTTTCTATTCTTGTTACTTTTGATTTGCTTTGGTTATGTTTCTGGTTCTCAGGAACAGAGGAACGACTTGGAGATAGAGTAAAAATTCAAAATTTCTACTCTATCTCAAGGGTGGTGATCGAGTATATCAGTCCAGTGGAGTCCAAAAATTATAAAATTTTGATTGAACCCGGAACACTACGATCGAGTATCCCGCACCAGAGGAGCAGGAACAACAACAAGGTCCCAGTATTCCATGGGATTACACCAGAGAGGAGATGGACGACTACGTCTTTAGTGTCTTCAACTGAGGTACCACACACAACCATCATTGTATATACCATTTTCTGTTTTTGTTTTGTTTTAGTGTCTCTTGAACTCTTCTTTAGACTTCTACTACACAAGGGACTGTGTAGTTTAAGTTTGGGGGAGGATTCAAGAAGTATTTAACATGTTTGCTAGTGAGTCTTATTTGCATCATTTGAGTCTTAACTTCATCTAAGGCATAGAAAAAAACAAAAAAATTGAAAAATTTCTGAAAATGTATTCCACAAAAACAGAGTGTTCATATAGTTGCATCACATTTAGGATTGAGTCTAGGATGTTTCATATAGGATTGTCGCATATGCATTGGAGATTATGATGAGATAGCCTTGTAAGCATTTTGGTTCATAGTTGGTAGTTGTCTGATGCGTAGTCAATGAAATTGAAGTAAAACTGCACCATGTCTTGAATGCTCTACTCGATCACACTGTTATTATCTGATACCATTCCCTATCAATTTGAACCTGAATCTGACTTGCAATTATCATGTCTTAGCATCGAATTTGAACTCATGGATACCATATACATACTTGGGTTTTCTTTAAACTTTTCACCACCCTTGCTAACCCAAGTAGCTGCTTCCATCATTGAAGTAGTTTCCCTTGCCCTTAACCAAACCTTTCTTTTGAGCCCTGTTATATATCGTGTGTGATTGTGAGGCCTGTTTCAGGATTGAGCTTGGAAGAAAGTGTTAGGTTTGAGCCGACAAGAGTAGTGTCTCATGTAGTTCTAGTCCACGTTTTCTGGGCTAGATAGGACTAGGTGGGTGTCTATTTTTTTTTAAGTGGGGGTCGAGTATATTAGAAAAATAAGAGAGAAAGGAAATGTTGATGTTCTTAGGAAAAGGAAGTTGAGAAACAAGTTAGTCTAGTAATGGATTTTGGGGAACTAAAAAAAATATAGGCTCTATAACAACTGAAGAAAAAAGTATAGAAAAGTCTTGATCACAAGAAGATAACAAGAGCCATAGTTGTCAAAGAAAACAAAAGTCCACTAGATCCATCAAAGTAAAAGAAACTTCTCCTTAGAATAAGAGACAAAGAAAAGAAAGAGTGGTTTGATCCAAGATAAGAATGAAAAAATAAAAAAAATGCCTTGAGTGCAAAGGGTAGAACTAGGATCATATTCTGGGCTTGAGGGTAGTACCATCTGTTGGTGTATACACTGTCTATGTTTTTGGGTAGATGGGATACTATTCTTGTATGCATAGGTTGGCTCTTACCTTTAGCATTCTCCTAAAGCTCAGTCCATTTCTTTTGAGGGTCCCCTGTTACTAAACTTGAACCACCATTTCTTTTGAGTCTAGTTTCATCCATCTTTCATAGCATTCACCATCATTTTTGTACATTTTGCATCTTTGGTCGAGTCTAGGACTAGTCTTGCATACATTCTGCAT